GATGCTGATTTCTGTTTGGCATGGGGTGGGCCACACTGCAGGATGTCACATCAGCTGAAGAATAGGTGCTTTGTGGCCTGGGAGAGAATCAGGGAGGGTTTCTGCAGCCCCATGGGGCTGCTCCTTTTGGCACCTTTCCACCTTGGTGAGAAGGAAGGCAGTTTGATTAATAAAAAATCTCACGCATAACTTTCGGGAAAAAGAGGGAAATGAGCCTTCCCTGGCACTCCTTGCTAAGTCTAAAACAGGCAGGGACAAGCTTGGCCTCGAGGAAGGTACTGGTGCTTTTCTGCCAGTCTCTGCCATGAGGAGCTCCATGAAGAAATTAGAACTGAGGAAACTTTAAAGGGAAAGTTTAAGGGACAGTATGATAGATTATTAAATGTTTAACAACAGGAAAGCTTTTCTTTTAAAAAAGCAAGACATTAGAGTTAGTCTGCATATTTACTTTCTTCAGATTTTTCTCTGGTGGTTGTTGTTATTATTTGCTGTAAGAGTCAGAATAAACACGTGAATGAATAAATTTTATCTAGATGATAAAGAGGAATCAGCAGGATCGAAGTGAATACTAATCTTCAATGGAACCCAGTTTTAACTCCTATTTGCCCTGAAAAGGAGCCATCACGTGTAACAGAAAATTTGGGTTGAAGCCAGTGAAAACGTATCAGAGAATGACAGCTCCAAATAGTGGTTTTACCTATTACAAAGGAAAAAATGATGGCTGGGTGGGGCTTTAGCTGTAATTACATTTTATTTTAGAAAAAGGGAGAGATCAGAGCAAATATGGTAAAATGATAATATGTATTAAATTGAGATAGTGGTACATGGTGTCTGTTATATCAGTTTTTAAATGATCTGTATGCTTGAAGTATTTTATAATTAAAATATTTTTTTAAAAAAAGACTGTGAAGACTTACACAGCAAGATTCCAGAAAGCTAACTGGGGGGTCTCTGACATGAAAGAAACATACAGAGCACCAGATGGTCCAGTAGCCTGAATTCTAGAAATAATCTCGACATGGTAAGAGAGTGTCCAAGCCTGGCCTACAGCCAGCCTATCTGAAATTGGGTTTTATACATGGGACAAAATTTCAGTAGAGAAAAGAGGATTGGGATAGCCTCCTAGAGTTGGTTTTAAAATGATTTAACTTGAGGTATCATATTTGGACGATCAATAAGAGAGTAACCCAAGGAGGTTATACGTTTACACGGTCTGCAAAGAAAGTTAGGTGTCTGTACCCCCAAACCACAGCCAGCCTCAACAGCTTTCAGATTGGCCCCGAACTTTTGCTTCTGCCTGCATATAGTGACTGAGTGCACGCTGAACCACCAGCCCCTCAGAGCCTCTTAAGGGAGTGGTGTGCTCTCACAGAGGCATGATGGGAAAAGAGGGAGGGAGGTTGGGTGGTGGGGAGAGAGAGAAGAGTAAGAGGCTGTAGGTGAGGAAAAGGCAGAACTCATAACATTTTACTGTTAAGCCTGAATACACGTACTTCATTAAATACGGAGTGGATGTAAATCTCAGAAATATTATTATTTTTTTCTCAGTAAATGTGAATGCCCTCCGTCTGAAGTCCCTGCAGAGCGGACTCGGGGGGTAAGTGGAAGGCATTCTCCATTGCACCTCCCCCCACGGGAGGAAGGCTGAGGACCATTCGACTGGTGCTCCCGCTGCTCACACAGCTGCTCTGCAGGTTCACAGCCTGACTGAACGTGTCTCAACTTTCACTTTCTTTTCTGTAACAGTTTATGCCGAGGGCAGTTATCATAGAATATGGAACATTTAAGATATGTTTTTTTTTCTTCCCTTTTCTTTCTCCAACTGTACTAGCTCGGAGATTCTAGAAGAAATTAAACAGTCACCATGATCATTATCTTGAAAATAATTATCTACTAATAATCAAGAAAAGTACACGCTTGCAAAATAATATACTTAGGCAATTCCACACAACCTATGTGCTACAGCTTTATAGTAGAAAAGTATGCAAAGGAAAAAAGGTTAAAGTTGATTTGACACTGCATCTAGATCAGTGGTTCTTAAGCAGGGTGATTTTTGCCCCACCAGGGGACATGTGACAATGTCTGGAGACATTTTTGGTTGTCACAACTGTCGGAATATTATCGGCATGTGGTGGGCAGAAGCCAGGGATGCTGCCGAATATCCTACAACCCACTGGTATGTCCCCCACAACAAAGAGTTTTCTGGCCCCAAATATCACCAGTGCTGTTTGAGGAACTGTGATCTGGTTGTATCTGTTCCACAGCTTCCCTTTCAGCCTCACAAAGAGCCGGTGTTTAGATAACTACTGCAGAACACATGTACAATTGTAAAGATCCTCCTGATAAAAGATATACACTAGGAGCAATTCCTTTCTCTGCCTAAAATTTAGGGAAAGGGGATTTAAAAACCCACTGTAAACTGAAAGGTCACCCTCAGCTATCCATTATGAAAAGACTATTAAAAGTGATATTGGGAGAAGAGCTCTGGAAAAAATATCTCATGGTTGTCTCTTTCTCTTCCGCCTGCGCTCATCCCTCTGATTAAGAGCTCGTTAAGATAAATAACCTTACTTCCGTTAACTGTTGCAAGCAGCAGAGCCATTTAAACTCTCAGTGAATGTTGATAGGCTAGAAGAACAATGACAGTTTGTATCAAATTCTCTGAACTGTTCTTCCCTTCCTTACCACAAGATTAACTGCTTAATGCCTAATAAATATATGTTGAACTAGTGAATAAAAATAATGATTGGGTGCAATAATGAAGCTTAGCTAAGTTTAATAATGATCAATTTACACATTTATATTTTGACTTCCTTTACTATTAGTTGTTTATGTATCTGTATTTCCCACTAAGTATTAAACTCCTTGATAAAGAAACTATCATTCGATAAGAACACCTCACGTCCATTAGGTTGTTCCATTTTTAAATTATTTTATAAATGTGAGGCAGCAACTACTACATGAGAAGGATGTATGAAGACTGAGCATCATTGGATATATAAAGTTTTTTATTAGGTAATAAATCTATAACAAAGTTAATGCCACGTATTTGCTAGGATCAATAATTGTTTTTTAGCCACAAGAGATTGGAGCAATACAAGTAAACAGTTCATGAAAATACCATAATTTATATTTTTTGTGTAGAGCCAATCCAGAAAAAACTCCTAGTTTTTCTCTTAATTTTAATTCTTCAGTGAGTATAATCAGTGTCAATACTGATAACATGTATCTTTCAGTTATCTTTATGACAAGTCCACACACATGAACACATACAATATTTATCTATTGACACATGTGTTAAAAAGGTAAGTGCTGGATCTGACTCCCTAACATCTGAGTACTCTTCACCCCGTGAGCCTTTCCCTCCCTGTTTCCAGTCATAATTCTCTGCCCTTATTTCACCACTGTCCTCCCATGTCCTGTTCCCTAGGTCCTTTGCCCCCAGCATCCCCAATGTATGCATTCCGCGTGAGAGTTCAATGAGCAATAATAGTCTGCTGTAGGATAAAGAGCCACCAGTTGTGTGAGAAAGGCAAGTTCTTTCCTCTGAGCTTCAGTTTCCTCACAGGTATCACACCTTTTACCTGGTACCAAGGTTGCTATGAGGATTAGAAGAGGTAATGTACGTAAAGTACTTAGTGAATCTTTGGTGCTTAATAAATGCTAATTCCCTTGTTTAATTGCTGCTCCTCTTTCCTCATGCAGATTCTAAGGGACTGAGACCATAAGACCATCTGTCAACTCCTTCTGTGGGCTAAACACATCATATTTACCTCACCTAATGACCGTGAATAAGAAAAACATCTTTCATTCCATATGAGAGTGAGGAGACTTAAAATGCAAATATGGTTGGTAGGACCAATACTATATAATAAAGGTGGGTTTCATTCAAAAGGTAAGAAATATCATCATAGTATTTTGTCTTTTGTTTTGGAACAGGTATAAGAAATTAGAAAGGTCTGGGCCATAAGTGGGGTATGAGAGGGAGGAAACGAAATGCAAGCCTGGCAAAAACATAGACAGATTTCTTTGACATCATAATTCTGTTAAGGGCCTGCCCTGTTGTCCTTCACCTAGTCACACACACAAAAATGACTGAGACCAAAAATATGTCATATCTTAAGGGGCTTACACACCTTAGTGGAATCTAAGTTGGTAACGTTTTGCCAAAGCCTTGAATTACTGAACAAATACAAATTTTTATATATGACAAAACTGCATTTGTGGACTGGCTTATCTACAAAACTATTATCAATTATTCAGTGAAACATGACATACCATTCACGAAAATTAACTGAAATTAGAGAAAGATATTCTCCTTAAATTAAGAAACAGTAAAACAACCTGAAGATGTGTGAACCACTCAACCACGCTTATCACAGGCCTGTTACGATGCACTACTTTCTAAAGACCACCACATACAGATGCACGTATGCTCAGGCAGAGGCCCCATGGTACTTCCAGGTTCTCTGTGGAACTTGTGCTCATTTAATCTCTTAGAGACCCTATGAAGTATATACCATCAAAGTTTCTGCATTTTATGCATTAGGGTACTGAGGTTTACAAGTGTTGGATAACCTAGTCAAAGCCACACAGATAGTCTGGATCTGAATTCATGATCTTAAATTCTATGCTCTTTAATCTATACACTCAGTCATTGTGTTTCATTTTCACTAAATCTCTAAAGAGTTGAAATTAAGCACTTCTTTCCAAGACATTAAAGTTTGAAGAAGTATATAATTAAAAAACCCTTGAAGGTGATCAAGAAATTGTAAAAGTTTGTCAGCTAATGTTGAAGTAATTTCTAATAAGTGAAAATTTTAATAGAATTTTTAAATCTGTCACTTCTATTGCTGAGACGATTTAAGAATTAGAGTAATCTCGTGAATATTTCAGCTTAGGGGCAAAGGCAGATGATATTCATTTAAAGCAGTTCCTCGCCTTCACGCCTAGGAAATCAAATCTTCCAAAATTCACAGAGAGAGATGTCACTAACTTACTTTGACTTGAGGGTAGGACTTCTTGTTCTTCTCACTAGATGCACCAGGGAGTCCACCATGAGATGGGCCTTCACAGACATAGCGGAAACGAAATCCTCTCTGTGAAGATGAACATGGAGCCAACAAATTTGAGAAAACTTATTAAAAAGTACTGGGACAAAGTTATACACAAATTTTTAATTCTTGTGTGTATGAGATGAGAAAGGAAAAACAAGAAATACATAAAAGAGGACTTTGCAAATGAAAACCTCTTTTCCCATAATCTTACTACAAACATTGAGGTTAATTGATATTTGTGTACCAAGCTGTAGCTTAAAAGCCAGGTCGTGAATTTTGCAGAAACTCTCCAGCTGTGCCTACACAGGGAATGAATTGCTGAAGAGTTGGTTTAAGTCTTGGACTTGATGTGCTAGAGCTTGTTGGAATCAGAGCTTCCTCATCTCAAATTGCTGCTGCCAAGCTCTGAACCTGGCCATATTCCTTAAAGTTATGCTTCTTTGACTCTTAAACGAATTCCTTTATCTCCTCTGATTACAGCTGGTTCAGAAGGTAATACAGCAATGTCTTGTTAAATATAGCACATCCATGTTGTAGAACACATCCTAAGCTAGACTCCGCATTTGGTCAGCTTCTCTCAATAGTTCCAAAAGATAAGATCTTTGATTTTATGATTATTGATATTATCAAGCTCAAGCTCTCTGTATTAACTGACTTGAATGAATCCCAAACCAGACAGTCTCTTTAAATATTATTCAAAAGTTTTGCAGATGTAGTAAATCAATGAATAGTTAGCTAAAGTTTTTACTATATGAACTACTGTGGGCTGATGAACTCATGTTTTTTATCTATATAAATGAGAGTAGACTAGACTATCTTTAAGGTCTATCCTAGTTTTAACATTTTAAGATTTACAAAGTTAACAATTATAATTTGTATACATATTTGTATACAAAGAATAAAACAAGGACGAGTATGAGAATGGATTTCATCATCATACTAAGTGAACTTTCAGTATTTTTCCTAAAGGACTCAACTTCATAATAATGTCAGTCAATCTGTGGCAGTGTTAGTGGTTCATAATTATACAGTCACTAACAAGATGGTTTTTCTTTTTTCAAATTCACCTCTGGGTGAAAAGAATATGTTAATATACTTTAGGTAGCATACTAACCTTTCACTTATTTTTACTGTGAGACTGACTTCATATAAACAGTGCTAGGTTACTAAGCCACCAAGAGCTCTACACACCCACTAATTGCTGGTGGAGTTTCTGCCCTGCACACTCATAGCAACGGTGAACCTGGCAAACACAAAGGTTTTAACAGCTCTGAGCTCATCGACGAATATAAAATTTTTGTCCTCCTTAGACTGCATTCTATTTCATTATTCCTCATGTCCAGTCTTGGGAAACAGTCTCTGAGTGGTCCAGGGGCCCTGAATGAATTCATATCTCTGGCATCTGGAACTGTCCCTATACATCCTCTGTGATCTTTCTGATTTGCAAAGAGCATCGGTACTAAAGCATGATTCATGGGAATGAGTAAGGCCTGAAGTAAAGTCCCTAGCATAGGAAAGTTCCTCAAGTTACACATGGCTCTAGAGTACATGATCAACTTGTTAAAGTAGGACCTAGAACAACTCTTGCATACGGCTCCTCAGGGGATTCCAAACTTAAATCCTAAGGAAGTCTTTTGAGGTGAAGTTAGTCATTTAGGGGCAATTCTTTCGTTTTGCCTCTCAACAAAATTCAAACTAAAAAATAGATTACAAATTTAGCTCTATACCTTTTGTAGATAAAGACTGTTGGCTTATTTTTAATTATTAAATAAAATTTCCAAAAGCATGAAAAAGCATAAGCATGTGCAACAGTTAGCTTCCAGAACTGGCTAACAATAAAGGTAGAAATTTACTCGACTACTACGCAATGTAAATACAATTTCAGTTTTTAAACGGTATTAGATAATTAGCACTGAATAATATGCAACAGAACTGGATATTTTAGAGATCAGTAGTCTTTGCTATGACTCATCTCTGTCAGAGCTGGGGAGAATTGTGGCAGAGAAACGCTTCCCCGAAGAAAAAGAACATTTTTCTAACTTAATTTTTAAAATGTAATAAAGCAATTCATTATCTTTAATCACAAAATTCCTTTAGCAAAGTTGGAAAAATATATACATGTATACTTTTATATATTACTGAGAGTAGTATCAAATAAAATATGAGAAAAGAGACAAGTCTTAATAGCTTGCTTAAGTTTGAAAAACAATAGATATTTTTCATGGTTTCATAAGAGTAAAGTTCTAAAGGAATTTTAAGCTGAGGATTGAAATTTATTACTCTTTATTTTTAGGAAGATAGGATGTCTTCAAATGTGTTGTTAGGATGCATTTCTGATACTAAATTTTTGAGAGTAAAGGTTTGCCAATCCACAGCCATTCATCTCAGTAACTCCATTTGCTTGAAATGAGTCATCAACCTCAAAGGCAAGGCTACATCCACCTGGTCAGAAAGTCTTACTTAAATACAACCTTCTTACTTTCACTGGAGTCAGACATCAAAATAACATCAGTTTAGTAAATGGACACATTATTTTACTCAGATGAACTTTTATACCTCCACATATAGGGAATTAAATTTTGAATTGTAGAACTACGTAACTCTTCAGGTAAATTATAAATGTCAATTTTCTTATAACTGTTTGACCCATAATAAGAAATTGCATTTAAACTTCTCATTGTAGTGCTATGCTTATGAAAATGGATATTTGAAAAAACATACTGTCTGGTATGCAGAAAAATAATTTTCAGTTGATCTTTTAGTTTCATGGATTACCCAGATCTTACAAGCTAGAAAATTTTCCAGCAGGCCAGACCACTGCATAGAATTTCAAGGTTAAAGTTCCACTGGGAGGGTCTTTGAGGGAATTGATGACCTCCTTTGAGAAGTCACTACTGTGGAATTGGACATAAGCAAAGGAACACATGTTGGCAGCCTGTGGAGTCAGGCTCTGCCACCTACGAGCAATGAGAACAATACCCTGAAGTCGCAGGTCCCCACACCAAAAACTTTTATCGAAGTTCAATCTTATAAGAATAGTCTATTTGGTCATAGACAAGATATTTGTATCCTTTAAATGCTGACCAAATCCAAATACATATATAATGCCATGATTATAATAACCACAATAAATGTTATATTTAAGTTCTCAGCTTTTGTTAAATGTTACACAATGTAAAAGTGCTACATTCACAAGCCTGAGCTACTAAAACACTTAGGAAAGGTACTGGGTAATATAACTGCAAGAGAGCAGGTATACATGCCCTCCGTCTCACACAAATTTGATAAGCACATCCATTTAGAGATTTACTGACTTTGTCCTAATTCTGTAGAGGACTACTGCATTACTTCTACCCTCTAATAATTGAAATCTATAAGCAAATACTAAAGATTCTCTTTCCTCCTCTTTCATAGCACTGGTCCCGATCAACTTGCAATAAATATTATCCACAGAGTTCAGGCATGGTGAGGAGGCCACTTCAATTCCATGGGATCCTCTACGGGATCCAGTGGTGCAAGGAAGAGCCTGAGAAAATAAAATGCTCTTCTCCTGACTCCAAAGAGACTAAGTCTAAAGGTAACACCATAATGTCGATTCTAATTGAAAAATAAATAAATAAATAAAAACAACAAAGCTAACACCAGAAGGAAGAGAACTCAACTGTTCATTCTAATATTATCTACCTCCCACTGGTACTTTTAGTATCTTTGGGTACATGTTCCAAAGACAGAACAGAAAAGGCTAGAGCTACTAAAGGCAGGAGGAAGGCTAAGAAGTACTGCACGTGCATGACACGATTGAAGGATGTAACTCTGAGTATGTGAGCTGTATGTATGCACATTTCCGTATGAATGACGGTGAGTGGAGATAACCTGTGCCTTTTCTAGGAGTGGCTGGTAAATAAAGTTGGTAGAGAGAGTAAGATACCAAGGATTTATAATTAATGGAAGTTTTACAGAACTACGTACTGAGGTTCAAGACAGTTTGAAGAATGACTAAGAGAAATGTAAAATGGACAAATGAAGTTGTTACAGAATTTGGCAGGTTGTTGATCTTCTAGATAAGATACTTCCTTCATAAAACTCATGTATTATTATTCAGTGCTTGATATATTAATATTAGACTTATGGATCTAACGTTTAAAGTCCCACCCCTTTATAATCTTCTTACCTGTTTAGGTTGCTCTAATATTTGAAGATATGGGCCATCTGCTAAAAACAAAAACAACAAACAGAAACCAAAAGAATGTGAGGCTTCTCAAATTTGGTATAAAATATAAAGCAAGTAAAAAACTGAAATTATGTTTTTAAGTAGAGGTTTCAATTAAATCTTTAGCTAAAATCTCACAAGTATATAATTTATTTTCCTCATTTGAATATTGAATTTATCCTTCTTTTTTTTTTTTTTAAACAGTCTTATACCTTTAGGAACCACAATAAGTAAACATTCTTGAATGGTGATGATACATTGTACAACTCAATAAAAGGCCTGATATTTGATAAAGATTAAGATATTAAAAGTCTTCACAATTTTGTGTACCAACAAAGCATTTTCTTTTGCCTTTATGTCATTAGATACTGACTTCTATTCCTCAGAGAGATTGTGCTTAATGTGAAATTACAAGAGACTGAGCTGGTACCTACATGTGTGAAATACACAGATAATGGTCTGCTTTTCCTTACACTAATTTTTGGTTACTTTCTCTTACTTGAATCTGAAGTACTGCCTCCATTCCCTAACTGGCTAGCTTGTTCCTCCTTCCTCCTAAATTTAATTTGGTCTATCTGACATGATGGACTTTTCTTATTAATACATAGCTTTTGATGTTTGTATACAATTTTTGAATACTATGCTCTGATATAAACTCTATTCTAAAAAAGCACAAGCATTTTATACAATCTTGAAAATAATTTAATTGAAGACAGGTACACGCCAATTAATTATTATATAAGCATAAAGGAAACTAGAAACTTAATCCATACCTTGATTATATCTGACTTTGGAAATTCGAAGGAAAATTAGATCTTCTGACAGTATAAATACAAATTTGTTCAATATGAGAAAGTCCCTAAGCTCCCCAGCTGGTTTTATGTCAATAGCATAATAACCCTTAGCTCTGCAATAAATAAAGGCATATGGTGTTTCTTACAGGTTTGAATGTAAATGTAAAAGTTTGGTACTAGAAAAATTCTGGGAGAATGCTTCTGTGTCCATTTCAATCCTTACTGTCTCTTAGCCAGAAGTTTAAGACCTATTATTTTAGATAAATACATTTATAAAGAAGAGCTAAACACCTTCAGATTGAAATTAAAAATAAACTACTAACTTAAGAGAAGAATTATTATTATCTTCTCAGTATTATGATGAATCAGGATAAAACTAGAGAACAGCAGGAAACAAAGGTATAATTATTTTCTGTTATTATTGAAGAAATTTACAAGAAAGTCAGTTGAAAAATGACTGAATTTGCAGCGAAACATACACACGAAAGGAAATACGGGTAGTGAGGGGCCAATGTAGTATAATTTAGGTAAATTATCTCTCTTGTCTGTATGAAATTCATCCCTGGACATTTTTAGCTAGTTTCAGAAAATAAATTGCAATTCAAAAATTCTAAAACATGGCTAGAATTTAATTTTTGATAAGGAAATAAAACCAATTAGAAATAGGAGTATTTTCATACTACTAACATATAGCCTGTATGACAATGTAACAAATATAGTTATAAAAACATTCCCTCTAGAATTCTCAATGAATATATCAAGAAGAGAGGCATTTAAGAAAGCAGCATTTGGATGTCATGGAAAATACAGGGGAGTTGGAACACATTGACATTAAACTTCAAGTCTCTCACTTATTACTGATTCTTCTAAAAATACTTGAAATCTTGCTATTATTTTTTCTGTATGATTAAATTTCCTTTAAATATGTGAAATTCCAAGGTTTGGAAATTTTATTAGTGAAATGGGGCCATTTTTCTCTTTTGGGGAACATACTCAAAAGTTAAATCAACTAGAAACCTCGATTTGATATGCATATAATTGTTTCAATGCCAATTTTCTTTTGGTCACATTTCTATTCCATGAAGTGACATCCCATCATATAGAGAAACTTAAAAATTATGGCATAATGTTATAGACTTAACAGTTGTACTATATCTCAAAGAGTTTTCAACAAGTAGTGAAACTACTTATGGTTTTAGATTTTAAGAAATATAGAAGATAAAATGTTTCATGTCAAAATTACAAGATAATATTGGTTTACATACTCTTCCTATCCCTTTAAAATGTGAATAAAACAGCGTACATCTTGGATTCCAAAAACTGTACTATGCCATGTAAGAGAGGGGGGAAAATGTAACAATAGGAATGATTAGGTAATAACTGGAAAATAAAATTTTCAGGTATAATTTTAGAAGTTTTTCTAATATTATGGCAAAAATGATTTCTACAATGTTAAGCTCTGACCACAGAATATTTACTGAGATGGTTCATTTGATAATCTTATTTCTAGCTTCATAAACTTGATGAAATAAATACATTATAAAAGTGTCTGCCTCAGGATAGCATTTGGCATCTACAAAGCATTAAATGAAAAAGTATTTGTTTCCTGAGGGCAGAACCAAGTTGTTTTCAATAAAGCATTAATACTAAGAAAAATACTTTGATCCTCAGAATTAAAAGTTCACAGGAAACACAGAAGCTACTAAGATATTTACTTGTTCTTCACAGGAAGCTGACCTAGAGCTCAAATTGGACAGCAGTTCACGAGATCTCAGATATGGGAGCCTACAAAATATGCTTTGTGGTGTAGAGAAAAAGGCCTCAGGAACACAACTTTTGCTAGTGAAGGTGAAGGCATAGGAGATTTACTTTTTCCCTCCCCTGAACTCCTAGAAATAATAGAGATAAAAAGGCAGAAAAACATCCTGATCTAAAAAACGAAAAGTAAGTGACAGAATAACAATAATAGTTTTAAATGAGAATGATACAAATTAGATAAAGTCTCCCAATGAGGACAAGCAAGTCCATGGTAAATTGAAGAGCTGATGTCCACTTCAGTGATTACAAAACTCCCATTTTATATACAATTTCCATCATTTACTCACACTGCTTTTGAACATCTCTTAAGTCTCACTGGTGATGTGAGGAGCACATAAAAGAACCATCACATTGATCTTACATAGAAATCAATAAATAAAAGAAGAGACTAAATGTGTTGATTTTTTAAATCACTCATATGAGATTAAACAATCTGTGGGTGGGGATAATATCTCATATTAGAAGGAAAGATGATTATCATGGGTTTTACCCAACTGGTCAGAATGTAACACTAAGAGTTTTTTAAAAAGACTATTTTTCTACTAGGATGATTTTTATGATTTTTGTACACTTTGTTTCCCCAGTGCCTAGCATACACGATAGGCACTCAAGTGTTTTTGGAATAGATCTGAGGGGTAGAGATGCCTGCATCTGGGGCAAAGCAAAGAGAAGGTAAAAAGAATCCAGAGATAATGAGATTGGGTGACAAGGAAAATCCTCATATTGAGTGAAGAAATTCCTTCTGAGCTGTCTCAGCAGATATCAGCAACGATTGCAAATCATATAATAAGTAATTGGGGTGAAACATTTTTGTGCAAATATATTTCAAGAAAGTACATTAAAAAATTGGTTTTAGAACATAAATTGCCATTTCCTTTCTAGGTGTATCACTGACTTTCTAAAAGAGACTATTAGCAAATCCTGAATTAAAAAAAATGAAAGCAAAACAATAGGCAACAGGAGTTGGGATTTTTCTTACCCGTCTGCAGTGGCATCTGTGGTTGAAATAATTCTGGATTAAATATTGTATGATTCAAAGGATCCAAATGAAACATCTGTAACAAAGAAAATTTAAATTTTCAGTCATTGTTTTTCCAACACTGTATTAAATATGTAAAGTTGCTATACCTAAAACTTAATTACAAGAACAAAAACTAAACTAAAAACAAAAATCTGAAAATATTTCAGATCAAGATTTTAAAAATACCTTCATGTGTATGGAACTTTACATAGGGTTGAGTTGTGTTTAAGTGACAGGGAGATTTGAGAAGAACGACCTAGCTATAAAGTCCATAAAGGTAGCTTATTTAACCAGTATATCTTCAGGGATCAGAATATTTTTATCACACAGTGGACACTTCAATATTTGTTGAATGAATGATTTGAAGGTTGTACTCTCTTAGAAATATAAGCACAAGAAAATAATCCTAGAAATCTGTATTTTTTTTTTTTGATTTTTTTTTTTATGATGGCAAATAAACCCCAATTTTAAGGCCTGAAAGAATTAGCCAGCAGCCCGGGAAAACTTTACAGAAAAACTGAAAATATGACTTACAGTCCAAGGAGCAGAGACGTGAACGTAGAACTCCCTCACCTTTATTTTTTTCTTTTTACCTTTATTTACCTAGCACAATGCAAAAAATGCCTGGAATTTAGTGGGTGTGGTAGGTTGAATAACAGTTCCAGAAAAGGCACCCATATCCTAATCCCCAGAACCTGTGAACACTGTCTCATATAGCAGAAGGGACTTTGCAGATGTTATTAAAGTAAGAATACAGAGATAGGGAGATTATTCTGGATTATCCAGATAGGCCCAATAAGAAGGATGCAGGATATCAATGTGAATAATGGGAGATGCGACAATTGAAGTAAGAGGCTGGAGCAACTGAGGAGACCATAAGGCAAGAAACACAGGCAGCCTGTAGAAGCTCCAAAAGGCAAGAAAATGAAAGCTTCCTGAAGGAAAGCAGCCCTGCCAACACCTCGATTTTAGACTTCTGACCTCCAGATTATAAGAAAAGAAATTTGTGTTGCTTTAAGTCACTAAATTGAGGTTATTTGTTTTGGCACCAACAGACATGCAATATATTTTGATGGAATTATATTCTATTGATAAGTTACGAATAATTGCTTATTCCAAGAAAAAAAATTTCTTTCCATTTAGTTTCATTCGTGATTTTAAATTCATATTTCTGAGCTGGGTAATTGTTTCAACCTAGTCAGTCATCAATTTTAAACATCTGTGGACAGCATAGAAATCAACCATTTTCCACTTTTTATGATTTGCTAGTTGGTAAGAGTGCTGCCCCTGGTATTTGTAAAAAAACACCAGTATTACAATTTACTCCTTTTCTTTATTTAGTATATTATTGCAAGTTCTTGGGTACCTAATGCTTCGTTACATCAAGAGTAAGAAACACATTGTGTAAATAAAGAACCTTTCTCATTCAGTTGTGAGATATGCAAATTTTCAATTGAGGAATAGTAAATGTGCTTCGCTTCACTGCTTAAAGCTCAACTACGCTTTTCATTGTTTGCTGAAAAGGAAATATAGGAATGAAAAGACCTGTTATTGTAAAAACAGGCCCCACCTTACAGCATATTCATAGAGCCAAGAGTCTCAGAGAAGAAAAGATGACCTAGTAGAAAAAAAAAATCTTTCCTATGGTTCTGTAAGTGGCCTCAACGACTGGTTAGAGGGCAAAAGCACTGATCTTAGGAAAGGGACACTTCAATTCAGACAAAGAAGGGAGAAGCTGAGTTGTGCTGCCACTTGCATTGCTTGCATCGTGTATAATAAGGTCAAGAGTGGAGAGCAAATTCCAGAGTATGCTACACACTGAAGCTATCTCACTGAGGACATGTAAACTTCAGAAAATATATACCACTCAGCTTCAGAAAAGGAAAAAAATAAAGTTCAATGACCTTTCCTCTCAAAAATGGAAATATCAGAATATGCCCCACCTGTTGCTGATGATCAGAAAAATGCCCACATGAGAAAAACTTTCGAAATGAATGTTTTTAGCAGATTTTTCTCTTGTGTGGCATAAAGGACTATCTCTTGTTGATAAGATTTCCTGCATATAAACAGGAAAGCATGGTCTGAAACTAAGAAGAAACAACTCGAATGCTGGTTAGATTTTGCCTTTAACTGTTAGAGACAGCATATTAAAAGTGAAAGATAAGACATAGGTTTTTGATAATATGAGTAGCCAAATGTCTTTCATGCTATAATCAAAGAAGATGTTCCTAGACTTATCCTATGTCATCATTTTAAAAATAAAGTTCAAAAGGAGCATCTGAATGTAAAAAGCTATGCACACTCAACTCTAAATCAATCAGAACATTATCAAGAGTAATGAATGCTAGGTAAGTCTTTTTTATTTAAAGAAGCATTGATAGACCCCTTAACAAGTATTTCACTTTTGGTTTTATTTTTTCTGACATTCTTTGCATGTGTAAATTTGGGAAATTCATTTTTTTAGGTGGTTGCCACTAAAGATTAAGTGTGAAATGACTGCAAATCTTGGCTCAGGGTGTCCTGGTACCTCGTGTTCCCTCTCTTGACTAGCCTAGCAAGCTACTGTTCCAAACCTCAGCTTACACAGACTTCCTTTGGAAAGTCCTCCCTTACCCTGTTTTCCCCATAGGGCAGCGCAGACTGACCCCTGTCAGCATTTCTGTCCTATTCTGTGCAGACTACGACTACAGTATTTATCAACGTATGAAACTATTCATGTTGCTATCCCCCATATTAGAATGGCAGCTTCTGAAATTAAGGTCTATATATCACTTATTTTTGTACCCCTCCTTAGTCAATGTTCTGCTAGATAGTAATGCCTCAATAAATAGCTGATGAATGAATAAACCTCAGTTTAGATACTTCTTAAAAGTCATTCTATTAAAATTTTATTATTGCCATTGTAGTTACCCTAGAGTCTGAAAATTGCTTTCAAATGGTTCCTTTACCATACATAATATATATAAATATAAAAACATATATAAAGAAAAAAATATTAATAATCAACAAAGATTTGTTGGACTAGTCAACATTTCCATAAGCTTGAAATTTTCCCAACTAAAATACTAGGTGAAAAAGAAAAAAAAGACACTAGTATCTCTTCACAACTGCTAATAAAATTATAATGAACAGTTTTATGCTCCCAAAGCACATTCACTGCCCATTATGCTCCCAAAGCACATTCACTGCCCATTAAGAAGAAAAGTGAGGACCAGAGTGGACTAAGTGATTCCTCAAGTTTTAAGAGCTTATCAATAGCAGTCAGCACTTATAAAAAGATCTTCAAATTCTAAGTCCAAAAGGTCTTTTAACTACACCGATCGATCTGCCTCCTCATTAGATGAGTTTCGAATAAATATTTTGTGTCCTCCCCACCCCCCACCAAAAGATACGTTCAAGTCTTAATCCGCAGTAACTGTGAATGCGACTTTACTTAGAAATAGGGTCTTGCAAATGTGACTAAGTTGAGATGAAGTCATACCAAAGGGTGGGCCCTAAATCTAATGACTGGCACCTTCAGAAGAAAAAAGAGAGGGAAATTTAGATATAGAGAAACAGGAGAGATACACAGGGAGGAAGGCTTTGTGCTGGAGTGACGCACTACAAGTTGAGGAATTCCAAGGATTGCTAGCAATCACCAGAAGCAAGGGGAGAGGCACAGAACAGGTTCTCCTTCAGAATTTCTGGTTATTTCAACCCTGTTGTCATCTTGACTTTGGACTTCTAGCCTCCAGAACTATGAGAGAATATATTTGTTGTTTTAAGCCATTCAGTTTGCGGTGATTTGTTACAGCAGCCCTAGGACACTAATACAATAATAATCATTTGACCTGTAGCGTATATGACTTTTTTGTGACAATGTGTTATAGCAGGGTTTAAGTTACTCATTTTATAAGACATCTTCTCTCTGACCTTACATGGAGAAATGGGGAAACTGCATAAACAATTTAAAAAATTTTTAACCAATTTTAGAGTTTGCCTGATACTTACTATTATTACCTCTGTTATTTAAAAACATAAATACATTTGCAAAAAAAATTATCAGTGAGATGATTATAATACTCACTTGTTCATGTCCTCCCAAATACGGATCGTCTTCTGCCATTCTGGAGCTGTATATGAAACAAAACAAAAGCAAACCGTAAGACTGAAATAAACCTTAAAAATGCAATCATGCATGTATTATTCCAGTAAGACCAAATATAACCCTTTTTTAAAGACCTTATGAGGAGGACGTGGTCTAGTTCTTCTTTGCAATCTAAATCTAACAGCAGAAAGATTGCATAATCAAGGAATTACCATTTACATGTAATCCAAAACCCTTATGTCAAGCTCACAACAGTGTCCTGGTGTTTGGTACAACTAGTCTTCATCTTCTGTATAAAATTCATGCATATTTGGATTCTAAGAGGTGATTTCTTTTTGTCACCACATGGACTTCAAGGATGTACAGTCTTAGCTCTTCGTGTAGATTATTTTCTAACCCTTCGTGAATTCTGTGATGGTCCTAAAATGGTCTCCAAGCTTTCTATATGCTGCTCGAGTTGAGAAACTAAGGGGGGTGCCATTCTGCTGTCAGACGGGCCTGGTCAGTGCGTCACGGCACAAGGGGGTGATGGCTACAGGGCGCCGTGCTCTGGCCTCCGGTGTGTTCCACTGCAGCGACACATTGTCAAAATGGTACAGTAGTTCCCCCTTATCCATGGTTTCACTTTCCATGGTTTCAGTTACCCATAGTCGGAAATTATTAAATGGAAAATTCCAGATACAATTTATAAATTTTAAATTGTGTGCCTTTCCGAGTGGCATGATGAAATCTCCTGTCATCCTACTCCATCCCACCTGGGATGCGCATCTTCTCTGTGTCCAGTGTCCCCACGCTGTATTCCACACCAACCTATTAGTCACTTAGTAGCCATTTTGGTTATCAGATTGACTGTTACGGTATCATAGTGCTTGTGTTCAAGTAACTCTTATTTTACTTAATAATGGCCCAAAGTGAAAGAGTAGTGATGCTGTCAATTTGGATGCGCCAAAGAGAAGCCATAAGTGCTTTCTTTAAGTGAAAAGGTGAGTACAGTACACTAAGATATTCACCTTCACATAATTTTAGTACAGTATATTGTTATAATTGTCCTATTATATTATTAGTTACTGTTGTTAATCTCTTACTGTGCCTAATTAATAAACTAAACTTTATCACAAGTATGTATGTATAGGAAAAAACATAGGGTTTGGTACTGTCCTTGGGTTCAGGGGACTTGGAATGTATCTCCCATGGATGAGGGGGAACTACTGTATAGAAACACTGTAATATTGAAAGTGCAATCAAAAGACACAAAAATAAGAGCCCTATTACCAGGGCTGCAGCCTCAGATTTAATCAACCACAGCCAGCCATTAATATATTGCCTGCCCTGGCAATCTTCTGTTATCGAGAGGCCTGAAAAAAGTGAAGAACCACATCATCAGATAAAAATCGTATCTAAAATCACATATCATTTTGGATTTATTTATTTAAGAAATATCCTTATCATCATTTTAAATGCAAGTTCATTTTATTTAAATTTACTTAGATCAAATTTTAGATATATTATAAGAAAAATTAGAAGATTAAAAAAAACAAGACTGAAAACAAATATAAATTCCTGAGGCAAAGTTTTCCTTTTTTTTTTTTTTTTTATGAAGTCTATAAAGCTCTCAAAGGTACTTGGGACTGCGGCTGAAATGTTAGCTGTCCATCAAAATCTGTTCTTTCCTTTCCCACAGTCATGGAGTTCTAGATGGAGACATGGCTGCTCAGTGAAGTATATCCCACACTTCCTTGAGTTAGGGACGGCCATAGGCTGAAATACTCATCAGTGGAAAGTCAGAACTACTGTGCGCCACCTCCAGGTCTGGGCTGAAGATCTTGACATTTTTCTTCTATGTTTTTGTTTTTTCTCTTTCCCACTGGATAAAACCTAGACATGGAGAAGACGAAGCTCCTACCATATAGATGATGCTAAATGGCAGGCAGCTAATACTGGTGGTGATGTGAGAGAGAAAGAAATTTCTTTGTTCTTTAACCCAGTGTGTTGTTGGATCTCTGTTAAAACAGTTTAGCCCTCACCCCAATGAATGCTTCACCTAACACTTCAAAAGGACAAAATCGTGCAAAGAGGACCTGATTCCAATTAAATGCTCTCCTGCTACAGCTCTGTGTGAATGGTGAGGAGTGAGGATTCCTAGTGGGATACAAGGTGGTGTCCAACTTCAACAAAAGGGACAAGGGCAGCTCTGAGTCCTACAGAACAAGAAGTCTATGCAGATTTGTAAGGAGATATTTGTCTAAAACAAAAATTATTAATTAAAGGTTTACAAATAGCTGTAATCAATTAAGACAAGCAGTTATAAAAGGGAAAATTGACCTGGTACAATAAAGAGGAATTATGTTATTTGAAATTCAAGTGTTTGACCAGTGCAGGGTGTGCGACTAAACTCACTGTGGTCTGGTCCTTCAACTGTAGAATGAGAGATTTTGATGGGATAGACCTTTGAAGAGTAGAGTTTTGTTGAGCTCAGAATGTTAGTTAGCTAATAAATGCTTATTCAAAGAATAAATCACCTTAATCATGACTCTTTGTAAACTTGGATTTTTTATGTACTCAGGTATATATTTCTATTAAAGAATCATTAGCATAATTTGCAGTTATATGAAGAATAGTAGTAAAATAATGTTACACTGAAATACAGTACTAACAGCAGTTATAACAGTCCATGTGAAAAATCCTTATTCTTAAAACACCACAGAAGTCCAGCTTCCAAGAAAAATATTAAAACCATTGTTTTTTTTTTTTTCTTTAGGCTTTTTATTAATCTGGGCTGATCCACTAGATTCCTCTCAAACAATCTTAGCCCAGTCTTCAAAAGCAAGGTTTAGTCTCTTGAGTTGTTAAACTTACAGAATACACACACTATAGATATATAAAACTATACATATATGCACACACTATATATAGTTATATATAGTTTTATATATATAAACTGTATATAAAGGGTCAGGATGGTTTTCTGACCTTTGAGTTCATGGATTTGATATGAAGCAGCCCTCCTCCTAATTTAAAAACTCAGCTAAATCTACTTTATTATAACTGATGCAGGCTTACTATCATGACCACTATTGAAGTTAAAACCTTAATGAACCTAATGGTTGGTAATGAAAAAACTATCCAATTAAACACAATTCTCCCTCCAATAACCTCCCCATGCAGAAATGTGTGCCCAAAGGTCATAGTTTTAAAAACCTAACAGAAGCCCAAAAGATACTTGGGTGATGGTTAAATCTAAATTTTTTTTTACCTGTTGTAAGACAGTTTAAGTTCACTGTGAAGAGCTGAGGTAACAATAACCTTAGAGTGATGTCAATGTTAACTCATACTTTAAAAATAAAATGTCAAAAGAAACCAAAAATTATTTGGAACGGATGAATCACCGAGTAATATTTGCATTAATTGTAAAATCAGGTTTTATTTCAAAATTTTGAAATACCAACTAAGGCTTTGGAACTGAAGGATTAGGAAAGACCAGGGAAAGCCCCTTTCCCCCCCTCCCCCAGCAGCCCTCCCTCTCACTTTCTCTTTGCACTGTTCTGTGCCTTTGAGGGAGGACTTTGAAACAGAAAAGGAGATCTTGGGTTGACTGGTGAGATGTGTCTAAACTCTGCATCTCTCTCCCCTAATGGTGAGGTTTTCAGAAAAATTTTCATGCTATGGAAAGAAAAATAGAAAATGTAGCTAGCTAGCAATAAATAAAATATCTTCTCCAGTGAATTGTTTTTATTTCTCACATGAGAGGCATAATGTCGTAACTGGCTAAGTTCTGAATATGTGATGAGTTCTATGTGAAATGCCTAATGGATTATTTTCTAGATATATGTGGCAATCTGACATCAAAGACTAGAAAAAAGAGTTCTTAGTGAAGACAACAAGACCAAGGCCACAGGGCTGAACCATTAAGGATGGAGTTGGGGGCACTCCTCTCCTTATAACTGGGGATATTTTGTAGGATCGGATGTAGTCACACTTTTTGACCATGGCCCCACTATAAGAAAACATATTATTTTTATTCTACCAAGTTTTATATATACATAAAAAAGTTTTTAAACCCATTAAAATGATTTCATGACTTACTAATAGGTCACAATCTGCAGTTCGAAAACAGAATTTTAGGTGCCATCCAGAGGGTACTGATAGAAATCAGAGAGATAAAGTGTCTCTGTTTTCAAGATTATATTCAGCCACAACGGATACCACTAAGGTGTAATTTTAATACCTCATCTTTGATGGCAAGGAGGATGACATTACAAGAAAAAGAGTGACTTTTCACCATTTCTCTGTTGGGCAATAAATTGATAAAAGATAAAAGTTGTGTGGGATTCTCTTTCCATAGAGGAATTTTATTTGCGGGAACCTGTTCTAAGGTATATGACATGTATACTATGTACAATGTGAAACACTAAAATGAGAGTATCTTTTGATTACAATTCCACTTTCAAGAATTTGTACTGTTATATGCGCAAGTGTACAAAAAAAAAGTACAAGGATATTGACTGCAGCAAAAACAGGTAACAGTATGTCTTTTGATAAATTGTTTCTAATTATACTGCATTCATACAGTTTTGTATTATGCAACTGTTAAAAATAACAATGCAGTAATATGACTTACTCCATAAGTTATACATTTATGTTTTAATTTTCTAACTCAATTATGTAATTGGAAATATACATTTTAATAGGAAAAGAAAAGAAAATTAAACCCTATCCTGAATTTAAAGTTAAATTTTGACATCTTTAACAATTAATGACACATGAAGTGTTATCAATAAAACATAAAGTATGAAATAAACCAAACATTTCTAAGCACTACTGAAATCCTCTTCATAATACATATAGAAAAATTTTAACTTTAAAGGAGCTGTTTATTTCCAACTTTCTGATGATATATTGGCTTAGAGATGAAAGAAAAGTTATTGGTGGGTTTAGTTACTTTTCTCAGAATAGCTGATTTTTGAAAGTTTTTGAAAAAAGAATCAATATTTGTATCACACCACATTTAGATTTTTATAAACTCATGTTCTATGTTTTTCCCAC